CCTTTGCCCCTTTGAAGAAAATGTTAAAATGGAATAATTGGTTGTTGTCAATTGTCAGAAATGGTGATCTGTTTCAGTAGGACTTGGCCAGCTAATGTTTAATACTCCCTCCGTCCCGCAAAGAAGTTTCCGCTCTACTTTTTTAGCAGTCCCAAAAAGAAGTTCCTCTTTTCTTAAATGACAAGTTATCTATATCCAAACAGTGCCAAACAGGGCGAAACAGTGTTGAAACCGTGTCAAAACAGTAAAATTTACCCCGTGGTAAGTTTATTTCCTTAATATGTGTGTAGGTCAAACCGGGAACTTCTTTGCGAGACGGAGGGAGTATGTTGATAGAGTTTGAGGTTCTTAAGAGCATATATAGAAAGGCTATTGTTTAAAAAAGCTTAAATAGTTGTGACTGGGCTGATAAATAGGACACTTTAGCTCCAAATAATCTCTTCCCTTTTGTTCCAGTACTCCAGTGGCTTGTAGCGTTTGTTCAAAGTTTATGAAGTATTAGTCTGCTCCTAATTACTACTACGTATTTAATGCAATTTACAAGTTTGATTGTTTTGTTGCTTCGAACTGGTTTTAAACACGATCCAACATTGTCAGGTCTATATATTTAGTTTGGGTATTTCCTTTTGTCAAATAATATAGTGTACTAGATCTTCCTGTTGCTGCAGCATCCCATTCTGCATTACATTAATCTAATGTGTACACTGGTGTGGGTTTCTTTTTTCAGTTTGTATCTTTAGTGAATCCAGCAATCAGTGTGTATTTGGAGATATTACGTGATGGATATGAGTCCTTTGCTATGTACTGCTTTGGAAGATATCTTGTTGCCTGTTTAGGTAAACTGTTCGTTTTGGATCTTTAAGTTTGATTTCATATAAAATTTGGTAGATACCTATAAAACTTTCCCTGTGGCTCATATAAAACTTAGCCTGCGTTTTTTGCTTCTGGATTTTGTTCTTGATTTTTCTTTAAGTGTTTCTTCCTTTGTGCATCCTACTTCAAGAACCTTCCTTTATGCTCTCTCAAGATCCGTTTCAAACCTATAAAATACCATTGAAAGAAAACAGAGAGAGAAACTAGAACGAAAGAAACATTGAGGCAAAGTATAAATAGCTTCAGACTCAGTAGATCTACTTTAGATATATTGTATTTTTCCAAGGTAAAACTGAACATAATAAACCAACTCTTCTTAGCATTTTGTTTCCTCATCCCTGCATTTTCTATAACCCAAACAAAACCTTGATGTTATGTATCCTGAAAAAGGTGGGGAAGAGAGAACACTAGAGTTTATGGAGAGGGAAGGACAAATAGGTTCAAAGGTACCCCTACTGGAGGAGGACGGTGGCCATGAGAGGGGAATTATAAAGCATCCGTTCCCAACGAATCTTTTTCTTAAGCCATGGAAACTGGATCGATGGGTTTATGAAGTTATCAAGTTTGGGATTGTTCAATATGTAAGTGTCCTCTCTCTCTTTTTATGATATGTTAGCCCACTGCCAGCTGTTAATTTCTTTCTTTCTTGAATCATATAAATTGTTATCGAAGAACACATGAATCTTGATGGCAGATGATAATAAAAGCATTTACTGCTATTCTAGCAGTAATTCTGGAAGCTTTTCATGTCTATTGCGAGGGAGAATTCAAGTGGAACTGTGGGTACGAGAAGCGTATTTCTAATTTCATAGATGGATAGTGCTTTTTAAATCCATGACCTTATTTCTTATATGTTATGTGACCTTTTGTTTTCATTTTCTTTTAAGGTACCCTTACTTGGCGGTGGTTTTAAATTTCAGTCAGTCATGGGCATTGTATTGCTTAATTCAATTCTATACCATTACAAAATATGAGTTATACCATATCAATCCGCTGTACAAGTTTTTGACATTTAAGTCAATTGTGTTTTTGACTTGGTGGCAAGGGTTGGCCATTGCCCTTTTATGCAGCCTGGGCATTCTCAAAAGCCCAATTGCTCAAGCTTTACAGTTGCAGTCAAGCATTCAGGATTTTATTATTTGTATCGAGGTAATTGTTCTTCTCACCTGGACACACACACACACACAAATTTTGGATGCTCAGTTGCTCACCAAGTCATCGGTATATCATTCGGTGTGTTGGTTCAAGGTTCTGCTAGTAAAAGGGAACAAATGCTAAGAAAATTATAATTTTTTATGTTTGGTTTTACCTTGGAAAAAGGTCACATTTATATTTATTTACTCGTAGTAGTTTCTAATAATACTTGTATATTCATTTATATTAAACTTATAAAAAAGTAATGACACATATTTGACTTAAATGAAAATAATAGAAAAATGTGACTTTTACAACACGTTGGCCACTTGGCCAGGTTTGTGGTGACAGTAATGACCATGATTATGTTCCATTTGCGATGCGGGCTATTTTGGTATTTTTGTTGTCCCATTTTTGTCCTGGGTTTTGTTTTTCTCATTTCTCTCGTAAAGTCTTTCCCTGATAATTTCTGGGTTCCAAACAGGCCCAATAATTTTTCTCAAATAAAAAACGGGCCCACTAATGATCAGCTGTATCTAATATAAGTTTGACTTGCTTGTGAATATTGTCCAGGACAGATGGGCATTGCTTCAATGGTCCACCTCTATGTTTTTCCTGCAAAGCCATATGAGCAGATGGGAGAGCGTTTTCCTGGGGGTGTTTCAGTACTTGGGGACTACCTCTCTGCTGACTGCCCCATAGACCCTGAAGAGGTTAGGGACAGTGAGCGACCAACTAAAATGCGTCTTCCGCTCCATTCTGATGTTAAAAATTCAAGCAAAACGACCATTAGAGAGAGTGTCCGTGATGTCGTTATGGGTGCTGGTGAATATGTAAGTATTTTCTCTAGCTTGTTTCTTACTGAGCGTCTTTTATATAGAAAAGTCTTTAATGCTGAAAGACAATGTAGTTAAATTTTTGGTATTGTTGACATGTTCAGATTAGCTAGACCAAAGAAATGCATTTAAGTTGAAATGGACTTTGGTCCCTCGGTTATACGCGAACAGTAGGTTCAGTTTTGATATTTTATTTTTGCTTTTAGTACTTCGTATTATATTCTCATAACCACCATTTTGATTCTATGACTTCTGCATGTGAGAAATCAATTTTTCTTTTCTTAAAAATTCAATCTATATTGTGATTTTATGACATTAATTATAATCAAAGAAAGAGTCCCGTTCCTATCAGGAGCTCCTAAAGAGAAGTCCCGTACGGACAAGACCATCAGAGGGTCTTCCTGGTGAAATTTTTTGAGCATGTTCCTCATCAAGTCTAGTTTATCCATATCAAATTTCAGCTCAAAATTCGATCGGGAAGACAGTCAAATAAATTCTGGAAACATACTGCGCATTCTGCGCACATATAATGTGCAGCATATATAATGTGCAGTATGTTTCCAGAATTTATTTAACTGCCTTCGCGATCTAATTTTGAGCTGAAATTTAGTATGGATAAACTAGATTTGATGAAGAACATGCTCAAAAAATTTCATCAAAAAATTCTACCGGGAAGACCATCAAAAAATTTGATGGTCTTGTCCGCACGGGGCTTCTCTTCAGGAGCTATGTATATGAACTGCCCTCTATATATATATATATAGAGAGAGAGAGGAATGATCCTGTCCAGCAGGATGGACAGTATCCGCCGTCCGTTTAGGGCGGTTCCCGTTGGAAAGTATTGATGAAATTTTGTGAGCATGTTCCTCATCAAGCCTAGTTTATCCTCAAAAATTTCAGCTCAAAATTCGATCAGGAGGGCAGTCCAATACTTTTTTGAAGTTGACTACGTTTTCTATGTATAATTTGGCACAGTTAACTTCCAAAAATTATTTGACTGTCTTCCCGATCGAATTTTGTGCATAATTTTTTTGTGGATAAACTAGAGTTGACGAGGAACATGCTCAAAAAAGTTCATCAAAAAATACCACCGAAAAGGCGCCCCAAACGGTGGCAGCCGGACGGCACCTCCTGTCCATCCGGATGGACAGGATCTTTTTCCTGTGTGTATTAATACCAGTGTATTTTTTTGTACTAAAATTGACTTATTTCCTACAGCTCCTGTTATGACAAGTGTTTGTGTTGCATCCAGATTGTGAATGATGTGAAGTTCACAGTGACCCATGCAGTTGAGCCAATGGAGAAGGGATTCACAAGATTCAATGAGAAGTTGCAAAAGATCTCTGAAAACATGAAACATGACAAACGAGGGAGGAGAGCAAAGGATGACAGTTGTGTGGCAACAACAACTTCATCATCTCAAACCCCAAGGGTTATACGTGGGATAGATGACCCTCTTTTAAACGGAAGTGTCAGCGACAGTGGGAGAACCACGACCTCTAAGAAAAAGAAACAGCGTCGGAATTCTGGGTACACGAGCGAAAGTGGTGGGGAGAGTAGCAATGATTATACTTATGGTGGTTTCCAAATACGTGGCCACAGGTGGGTTACAAAAGACTAGTTTGGGATACTCTACTCCGGATGATCAAGAAAAATAATATGGAGTAGTAACCCAAAGATGTCAGCATCTATTTGACTGGGCTAGTGTGTGGGCGTCAATCTCTGACAAATATGACGTCTCGAGGTAATCTTCATAGATGATTAAAGTATTTGTGTTTGAAAACTGGATCTGTGTATAATTCTTGTAACACAAAACACGGCGTCATTGTATCTGTATCATAATAAAAGGCATCGAATAAAAATACCCCAAAAAAAACTTTATTGCGGGATTCTAGTAGTTTCTGTGTAATTGTCTCTCACTGCCACGCTCTTTCTTTGGGCAAGAATGTCACAAAGAAGTCAAACTAGTGAACCACTTGTTTGTGTGTTTTTATGTTTATTGGGTAGGGGTTAGAATTAGGAAAAAAACCGATCTTTGGTTCCATGACCATTACATTATTCTCATTTGTATCCATAACATTAATTTTCTTTTCTATTTTTTGCGCATAACTATGTCTTTTTATCACTTTTGGTCCTTTCGTGCTACTTATCCAGCGAAAGTTAACAACAAATTGTATGGAAATCGACCATATGGGTGATCAAGAGAATCAAGACCTTAATGAATAAAAATATGTAGTCATCATGAGGCTAAAAGTGGAAGAATGAAAGTTTGGACCAAAAGTAAGAACAAAAACGATCTTTGTACCCACTTTTATACCCATCTATGTTTGTGAAGTGTTTTGTTTATCTGTGAACCCCAGTTCGCAGACTATATTTTGCACAGACAAAATATTGTTTGTGAATCAGGTTCACACACACAAAAAAAACATTCACAAACATGGTGCGTATAGGGTGGGTACAACAAGCAATGCTGAAGTAAGAATAACCAACAGTTGTAGGACCAAAAGTTGACTGTTTTCTAAGTATTACGGACTGTTTTTTAGTTCCATAAGACTATAAGAGCATCCTTCAGTTCAGATTAGTTATCTTTGTCACTGCTGTCACATTTGATCCCTCGTGTCATTTTCTCACAAGATGGACAAGTTACTATACTCTTCTTAGCCTTAGGAAGCTTGTCTGCAAATGGCGATAACAGCCGCTCAAATTTGCATGAAGATCGCAGCTCATTTAATTCTCTTCTCAACCGAATATTTTCATTATTTAGATTCTCGCAATACTTCTTCAACAGCTTGCAATCTACCTCGATTTGCTTCAGTTTAGTCCTGCATTTAATGCATGTGATTCCGCTAACTTAACAAAAGAGGAAAAGGATGAAGACCTGAAAGTAACGAGATTAGGTTATTCACCTTGCTCTTCGGTTTTGAAACCAAACTTCTACTTGCCTTGGCCTAAGATTCAACTTCGCTGCAAGTTCATGTTTCCGACCCTGCAATCATGTACATTTGGTGTATGCAATGATTATAAAAAAAAATTGATTATAAAAAAAGTTTTCATGTAGGAGGCTGAGTATTTTATGTATCGTGAAAAACACACCTTAATCATTTATGATGATCTCTCCTAACAAACCCAAGCTTATTGCCAAATGTATACATCGATGGATTTTGAAACACCTCATGGGTGTGGGGATTAATTATTGAAGGGTTACATGTTAGCATTTTGTCTTTAGGATGTTTTTACTTGAACTGTTTTCAGTCTCAGACCAGACTAGATGTGGACAGTTATAAAATACACAGAGACCACAAAGATCAGACTTTTAACAGACCAAACTAGAAAATTTTGATCCAATTAAAACATCCTTAACTACATTCCGAGCTAATGTTGGCATGATTTTGCACATCTTGAAAAGTTAAATGATTCAACAAAGAAAGCCCACTATAATGAAAGATTGAAAGTTACACTCCATATTACTTTTGAGTTGATTTTAAGTATGAGTGCTGAAAATTAAGTTTCTCAGACATAAAAATTAATTTAATTAACCTCAATGGAATATTTTTTAGTAATTTCATTTAGCCCACTATTTATAACGGCATACCCTAAAATCTTGCATTTACATACACAAATATTTGTCCTTCAGGGATGAAATTGTATACATAATTAAAATACTAAAATGAAGGAGATTAAAAGTTGACATTATGGAATGAAGGGTTGATGCACAATTGATACCATGGTAAGGGTGGTATGATGCTTGAAACATTCTTCAAGTATTGCAGATTGTTCCTGATTTAACCTCAACTTCTTCCTGCCATAAGAATTCTCACATTCTTCATCCATCTCACATGGTTTAGAAATCTCAATAATCTCCCCACTTTGGTCATTGGGCTGAACGGGAAGGGAAAGATCCAAAGAAATGCCAATACTTGTTTGAGTGGGTAATTTTTCCTCCTTGGGATTAAAATGACCTAATCCAAGTCCTAGACCAAGATCGAGTTCCTTGTCATCTTCTTCCATGGCTTAGAAGATGAATCATTAATCTAATAACTAGGTTCAGCAATGGCAATGTGCCATATTTATAAGTTAAGGTTCAACAAATTTGCAATCTGAGATAGTATGCAATTATGACATGAGTTATAACTAAGACTTGATGTTATAAGGAACCAATTTAATTGTTTTGACTATCATTATTATTTTTAACCAACAATTGTAGATAATATGTAATTATAACTCCTAATAAATAATATGCAATTATAACACGACTTATAACTTACATGTAAGACTTGATGAAATTAAAAAAACCGACTTAATGATTTTGACTACGACTAGGAGGGTTAAGGTAAGCCATCATTAATAACATGAGTTACCAAAGACTAAATAATAAATAGGGAAAAAATTGCAATAATTATTAACTACGTAGCTAAAGTATTTTGGTCGGAATATATACCTAGGCACACACGAATGTGTGTATTTAAATGGACACATACAGCAGTCAAGCACACATTCATCATCACATGAGAATATAAACAGATATTTTGGTCACAATTAGGGGTAGAAAATTGTTCATGAATCCTGCACTCCAATTACAAATATATTGATAAATTGTTACAAGAACGAAATCTAACAACTCATATTAACAAATGTTGCACTAAAACAATCTTAAATCCCATTTGGCAACACTGGGATAGGCCGAAATTGATGAACTTCTGAATAACTGAATTGTCAAATCTGCTGAAATATAAAAAAATACATTTGAAATATATTACCCCCTCCGTCTCTTAAAATTTTATCATCTTTGAAACTTTGACCAACTAAATATTTTTATTGGAAATTATTTATAATATAAAGTGATATGAAAATGTTTTGTGTTTAAAATACTTCCATAAAAGTATTAAAATTTATAACTTCCACAATATTATACGTAGTACTAATCAAAATCATTGAGATGTAAAAGTTTTACAAGATGTAAAAGTTTTAAGGGACGTAGGTAGCATATATTAATTTAACATAGAAAAAATATATGAAAACGCTAAAATAATCTTCTTAAGCAAATTCATCCAATTCAGCTATAAAAGTAAGTCTAACCTTTTCATCATTAAATGAAGTGTTCAAGTGTTTGGGATAAAACTTGTAAGCCGAAAATAAGAGTTAACAAATGGGTCTTTAGCAGACCCAATCAATCTTAACTTCCACACAAATTTGGCAGCATATACTATTTCAAAACGAAGTTGAACTCTTGAGCAAGCAGATCCCATTAGACTATCTTCAGCTTGACGCATATATATACTAATAACACGCTCAGAATAGGAAGTAAATCAAGGGTCAAGGTGAATTTCATAGCAAAGATGATATATGCAAGTGTACTCTGAAAAAAACTCAAAGATTGATTCACAAAATGCCAATAACGAAAGGGTTCCTTCTATTAAAATGCTTATTGAAAGATGCAATTATCTTGCGAGAATTTTAGGTGATAATGATCTCTTACTCTATGTTTGCTTTTAAAAAATGCAAAGGAAATGAAATATGATTAGATTTTTTTACATATGTTTAGATTTCTTAGTATTTACATCATCAGATTCATCACCCAATGCCGCAAAGGCTCCCCACCTACGGTGAGGTAAGGGAGTTAGATGCACGAAGTCTTACCCTGTACTAACGCATAGAGAGTCGGTTTCCAAATGACCCATTTATTTCTTACTATTTATATACAACAACAAAATTAAAAAGGTGAATTTGAACGAACAATGAGCATACGTTTGAGTTTGAACCAATGCAATGCTATGTTTTTATGATAGGTTACAGACCTAAACACAGCGATTCAAGAAGCTAGCGATGAAGAAAAGAGACATGTGTAACAGTTGTAAGGGTCGTATAACAGAAGACAGTTTCCAAAGTCCCAAGCCCAAATGCTAATTCCAGCCTCCTCTACTGAACATAATACCTCCTATTTATAATAGCCACCCTCGCTCCCCTATACAAACTACTAGTATCTAATTATTTATTAGTCCCCTTTCCCTTTCTATTTTAGACTTTCTTATAATAGGTACTGCTATCCTTAAGAGTAGGCTGTTGCCTTCCTTGATCTCTATCATCACTCCCCGCCTGAACTTCCACCTTGTGCTCAAGGTGGGGAGATAGGAAAGCCCTAACCACTTCTTCATCCTCACTTCTTCTACAGCAAGAAAGAACAGAAGCAAAGGCCTGACAGCATACTGTTTCAGGATGATGGAGGTTGGAAACTCCCAGCCACTGCATCTCTGTTGTAACCCTTCCTTTGGTTCCAACCTCTGTTCAAGAGACTTGATCTCAATTTCGTCCAAATATGAGAAACCCATATCCCAACTTTTAACTGCATTTTTAACATAAAATTCATTGGGAAACCCAGAACAAAATAGAGCAGGCTTAACAGCCTCTGATCTGACATCCTTGTCATAGTAACTCCTTGAGATATTCCCAAAGATCCCATCAGACTCGAAGCTTTTATACAAGCCAATGGAACAATTCAAACGACAATTTCTGTATTATTCTGCCAACCAATCCCATGTATATCTTTTCAAAAGGACAGATGTATTTATAAGTCTCTTAGCATCAAGCTTGATTGCTTCAGAATCTGGGGAAGATAAAGCGCAACCTGCTGCATTACAGAAAACAGCAACTACTTGCTTACGAACAATTTCTGATTTTACAAATAATTCCATGAAGTACTCTCTCTCGGAGACATCAATTTCAGTAGCCTGAATAGCAAAGTCCAGATTCATATCGATTCCAGCCCACTGGTGTTCTGAAATAAAGCTAGCAACATCACCATGGAGTCCATGGTTCTTAAATTTGACAATAGCACCAAACTCCTTTATTTCATCAACTTTTCCCTCTACAATGCTACCAATAGCAAACTTCTCAGCCCATCTCCATCCAAGATATGGGAAATTCCATGGCCGAAGCTGGACAATCATGTATTCTGAAAGAAAATGTCCTTGAATAAATGAAACCTTAGTTGTAGAGCATAATGATTGCTGCCAGGACATTGTTAGTCTACCAGATTCCTTATCAACATCACTTATGTTCATACTTCATACGAACTGAATATCTAACGTAGAATACTTCAGTGGCATTGAATCTCTATCATTTTACCAACATCTTATTTCCTTCAAATGTTATTCTACATTCTCTCCTATTCTATTTCCCTTGCATTATCAACGTGTGAAAAGAACTGGCATGATATATGATGCTCTTTTTTTGTTGCCAAGGAAGTTCTTTATTTTTCAATTGTTTAAAATTATCCATCATTACAAAGTACAAACAGGGGCCCTTCGGTTACAAATCCACATCCGTAGTTTCACTACAAAGTAAAGACATGCCCTCATGTAACTTTCTGTTCATAGTTTATTCTTCATGTAATAACTCGAGCCCTATCTAATGTTTCCAATTCTATTGTCCTCTGAAGCTCCCATGTAGTAAGTTTTTAGAGCCTTAGGGGTATTTGCTTTTGCCTCATAAGGCATAAGCCTCATACTCCCTTATAAAATGCATATAGGTGTTGCTGGATTGGCCAATTACTCATTTTGTAATGAATATACATTTGGAATGGTAAAATAGTTCTTATATAATATCCACCAGAAAAGAAAAAGATTAAAGTTTATCCTAACAAATATTATTACTCCGTATGAAGGAAGACAGGAAATCTAGTCAAGGAGAAAACAAAATGTACATTCAGCCGAAAAGAAGATTCACGGGATAAATTAGGAAGCAGCTCGGATCAGTTACTAATTCCCTGACAAACATTTCACTAGAAATTTATAATATATTCCACAAAGGCTACTTGAATTGCTTACACATTCTTTCTAGCTAATAAAAGTTGTTTAAAACGCTCACCAAAGAAAAATGAAACAAAGTATGAACTTGGCATATTAAAACGCTGCTTGCTTGATGACCTTCAGCTTACACTATTTGGGCTTATCTATTCTCTAGCCTTCTTCACCCAAGTGATTTACAAACACATTGCATAACGTTGTTTCAAAAGGGCATCATTAGAATTTGATTTAATGTAATATAATCAACATATTATTTCATTTTTTACAGGCAGACTAGCATTCTAGCAAAGCCTGTTTGGTAAGACTAAAATTGGGCAATTCAGCTGAAACTGCTGAAGTTATGCCTGAATCTGCTCAATTATGAAAAAATATACAGGAGTAATAAAATATATACTTTATTAATTAAGCAATTCAATGTAACTGATAAAAGCTAAAATGATCCTCTTCCCCAAAGCGTTGGATCTAATAGAGGGGGATATAATAGGATCTGTCTAAAGAGTACCACCAACCTTACATCTTTCTATCATTAATCACTTTAGGGGGGAAATCCAAATATTAGTGATTCGAAAATAATCTGACATATAAGGCTAAGCCAAAGAACAAGGATTCAAAATGGGCACTAAATATCCACAAATATCACCATTAAGAGGCATTGAAAGTTCAGTAAATTAGATAATATATTGTAACTTAAGAGCTTAATTACCCTTACAAGGAACCAGCACACTATCTTCTCTTAAAATTGACATACTACATACTTTTTATTTGTTTAGCTAGGTCCTCCGTGACGCAGCTATGATCTTGAAGCAGTAGAAGAGATTCTACGTAATTCGCAACATAAAGTGAGCGGCAAGTCCCAAAAAATCCAAGCTTATTAACTACTCGGGTGTTTGGGCAGTATGAAACGAGCTCACTTTTGTTAGTCGAGAAAAAAATGTCACCATTTTTCCTAAAGCCAACCATTCTTTCCATCCCTTCGACCAATTCAATATAGTGTAGCCTAATCCAAGATTCCACAACCCCATACTCTTTCATTACCCACAGTTCACAAGAACTTCGGTGGACCTCTCTTTTATACTTAACAACAGAGATAGACTCATCCAATGCCAAAATATATAAATTTGCTGCAGGTTCCTGAGACAATTCATCTGGGAGCATAATCTCACCAAACAACTCATCAGCCATTGAGAAAACTGCAACAGAGCACGGAAACCTCTCATTCTCCAGTGATTTGCACCCAATCCAATGAATGGCCCCGCAGACGAACGTTTGAGACCAAATGAAATCGGTCATATAAAAGTTCACGCCTACTGCTGATATCCTCCTCCACTCCCCTGTCCTTAGAGAATAAATCTCAGCCTCCGGCGGGAGGGCACACAGATCCATATACTCACCATTCCTTTCATACGCAATTCTCAGGACTTTTAGATCATCAACACACTTTGGGTTCACACCAAATCCCAATACAGTCTTAAACGGGCGCCCTAGTTTGATGGTAGGAGGTGGCAAGATTAAATGCTTCCGAATACTAGGGTTCCACAGCGTCACAGAGTGTGAATCGCTATACAAATCATCATATAAGCAAACGACGCCGTTGTAACAGCCAACTACACGAGAGTACCCGACCCGACATGCGACCTGGGGGCTGAGTTCGGCAGAACAGGTCAGGGAAAGTGAATGGCTATTGAGGATTTCGTATTTTTCCTTTTTCGATTCAGTTTCAAAACGCCTGAGCAGGAGGAGGCTGTTTGCAGAATTACCTTCCCGAGAATGGCGGAGGTGCGCGGAAGCGAAGGAGAATCTCGTGATGAAGAAGAACCAAGACTTGGAAACTGCAGTGAAGCGTACTACGGATTTAACCGGGAGCCTCGTGAGGATCTCGATCAGGATTTCTTCAGGAAAATGGCGGTCACCCGCCATTGTTGAACTTCGAACAATGGAGAATTGGAGACCCATAAAACCTGTAATATTACGGAAGGCTTTCAGTTCTTCACTTCGATTTACGAACTGGTAGAACTTATTCGTTTCGTCTGATACTCCGTAATTTTGCATTTAACTGTGGCAACACAAGGTTTTAAAAAAAAAAAAAAAGAGAGAGAGAGAGAGATCGGATTTACAAAAAAATATTCCGGCCTGCTGGTCTCGATCCAGCGACCTATGGGATTGTTCACAATTAACCGTCCAATCGTCGATTACATCCGACGCCAGACTGAGCTAAGGCCGGATCTTGTTTACTTCGTTACTCGTTAATAAGTATAGAGTACGAAATGCTTTTATTTGTAGGATATAATACGGAATACGCATTTTCGCTTAATTTTGTGGATACAAAATTCTAGAACAGTTTATATGGAGTATACTATGTAAATCGTGATACGTATTACTATCCTCCGTTTCTTTTTAATCGCAACATGTTGAATTTTACACTATTCACAGGCTCTACTTTGACTAAATTTTACGTTATTATTTTATGAAAATTATTTTTTAAAAAAGATATTGTTCAATTCATCTCATTACAAAGTTTCAAAATCCGTTTTTTAAATTTTTTTTTTACTAATAGAGATTAAGATATAATTACGGTCAAAGACGTGCGTTGGCAAATGTGAAATGTTGACCGTTGCAACTAAAAAAGAACGGAGGAAGTATATTTTTGAAATTTCTTATAATCTTAATATATCCAACTTGATATTGAATTTTGTGCAATCAGAAATTTCTTCACAATAAAATATCGATGTCAAGTATTGAGCACTGAGAGCCTGTTTGGCAACACTTTTTTCGACTTATCAGACTTATTAGTCAACTTTTTCATCAAACACGTAACTTTTATTTCCGCGCGTTGAATTGTGTAATAAGCATAAAAAGTAAGGTTGGAGTTATTTTTCTGGCTGTATTGGCTGAAGTTATTGTACATGACCATTTTAGCTATTTTTACATATACTTTCCTCTTTGTTTTATTAATAAAATATATTTTAAATTTTTTTTCATAAATAAGCAGAATCGGCCAAAATAGTCACTTCAGCCAAAACTTCATAAATTTCAGCACAATCAACCAAAACACTCAATTTTCGTGCTACCAAACAGGCTCTGAATATATCGATAATGAAATCATATTGGGCTGGAAGTAATGTCTAGCAGGGTAGAGTAGGGGAGGCTGGATGAGATCTGTAAAATTTAATTTTGATGTATATACATACATATAAATATTTTTATACACTAAAAATTATAGTGAAATTTTAAGGTTGGATTCCACAATAAAAATCATTTAAGTTCCGACCCCCCACCCCCTATTATATTCTACCCGTAGTACTCCCTCTGTCCCGGATTGTTGTTCCAAATTTCCTTTTTGGGATGTCCCAAAAAGAAGTTCACTTTCCCTTTTTGGCAAAGAATTTGTGGTTCACAACATTTCTCTCTCCTCTGCACAACTCTCCACCACACAATTCCCACTTTCTTAATCTGTGTGCCACTTTATTTTGGAACAACAATTAGGGACGGAGGTAGTATCATTTTTGGCTCGGTCACTAACGTCTAGGATACAGACATGTACAATTGGTAAGGGATGATCTTTTCTTATAACACAAGTCTTGTGATGGTTGTTCCTTAGAATAAGTGACAAACTTAGGTGAACTTATATTTAAAAAATAGTGTGACAAATATTGTGACAAACTTACGTAACTGTGAACTTAAATATACGAAAATTTATTTATTTATTTTAAATAAATAAAATAAAAATTATATGAACATAACGACTACAACACTACAAAAAAACACGGAGTTAGTCACGGATTTAGTCACGGACCATAGTATAAAAAATCTGTGACTAACTATGCTAGTCACGGACTTTTTCCGTGACTAAATCCGTGACTGTTTGGGCGTGAGTAATTCTAGACACAACCGTTTTTTCCGTGACTACGCGTGGTCACGGATTAGTCACGGACCCTATCCGTGACTGGAATAACCACACCGGTGACTTAGTCACGGCCTCTATCCGTGACTACATTTAGTCACGGACCAATCCGTGACTACTTTTTCAAATTTCAAATGTGACCGCCAGTTTAAATTTTCAAAATTTTAAATTTAGTCACGGACGAGATCTATGACTACTTTTTGTGCTGTAAAAAAAAATTTAAATTTTTAAAATAATTTAAAAAAAACCGGTCTAGAATTTAGTCACGGCTTAGATCTGTGACTAAATTTTTTCATTTTAAAAAAAAAATTGTTTTAAAAAAAATAAATTTCTTTTTCAATTTTTCTTTAGAAAAGTTTATTTTTAAAAAATAATTGTAGAATAAAAGTAATAAACAGACTACTAGAACACATATTTTATCCATAAACAGACTGAAATAAAAGTAATAATAAACACAATACAAATATAGTAAATAAACAATGTTCAATTAAAAATGTATATCATTTACAAGCTCCTCCGACTACCATTATGATAATATCTAGAATCATCGTATAGATAATCTTCTTCAGTCTCATCTTCTCGGTTGCTTCCACCTTGGCCTTCTCGGTTGCCACCGCGACTGCCCCCTCCGCGACTGCCACCTCCGCGACTGCCACCTGCTTGGCTGCCTCCAGATGTTTGAAACAGGTTATGAAAATTGATATCCTGAAAAGAACCATATGAAGGCAACCCGGAAGCAGAGTTGGAACGGAAATAACCGCCCATCTGCGGAACTTGAGGAGTCTGCTCGGGGTGCAGTATATACGGCTGAGGCTGAGGCTGATTCCGAATTCCGGCGCTGAGGATCCGCTCCATCGCTTCCAATCGGACTCTTGTTTCTTCGTCCTTTTTGCGTTGCTCCTCCAACTCCCGCTGCAATTGAGCGATACGTGGATCCTCTCCGCGCCTTGATCAAGAAGATGAAGCGCCGTTGCGGTCGTACAAAATCCGTTGCCCCTCGGCCCCCATGCACGGAACCCGGCCTTTGTACACCCCAGCTGCCTCAATGATGGCTTCATCTTCCACATCAGAATCAATCTCATCCTCCTGAGTCAAGCCTAATTCCGCCCGCTTCTTCTCAACATTTGTGTTATACTTCGTCTACATGTACAAAAATTGTTAATTTAATGTTACTCAATTCGATTTTGAATGGTACCAAGCAACAAAATAGATGTTACTTACTTCGATTTCAGCGAGGCGGGGTGGCAGATCGGCTTCTGACTCATCGTCGTGCTTTGTCCAGCAGTGCTTAATGACCTTGAGAATTGAGACCTTCTTCTTCTCAGGCCCCGCCTACATAGTTCCAAAAAAGGCTTAAGATCCATAAGTAAATGTAAAAATGAAGGGTTGTTCTGTGAGTATCCCTGTAACTACGTGTGCATGCTAACTATTTTAATTCCGTGTGGTGATTATCGTAAGTCCCGTTGTTCAGTTTGCTTGAGGACAAGAAAACGCTTAAGTGTGGGGGAATCTGATAAGTCCATATTTAGACACGCATTTGATGCATGTTCAGGTCGGATTTTGATGTTTTTCCTATCTTTAAGGCGTTGCAAGTCTTAATTTTGGCTCAAGTTGTGTTTACCAGGCGTTGGGTCGAGTTTATTGCATTTGGAGTCAAATTGGTGAAGTTAGAGACCGGCTCGGGGCTTAAAGAGGCAATCAGGATGAGTTGAGAAGCATTCGAGAGTGAATTTAGAGCTTTGGAGGTCACCGGGAGGTTCACAATGAAGATTTGATTACAAAAGAGCTCTAGAATTGGCTACGGGATCAAAAGAAGACGAATAGAGCTTGAAAACAACGATCAGGGTGAGCTTCTGTCAATCGTTCAAGCATATCTCTTTGTAGAAATATCCAATGAACACGATTCAGGTTGAATATGAAAGCCAACTTCAAGGGCTACAAATCATATGAAGACACCTTTGCGAGAATCAGAGAGTAAGAAGGTGAAAACAGACGATGAAGTCAGATGATCTCTGTTGCGATTTCAGAATGACACCTTCCACCGTTTTGATCATATCTCTTGATTGGATGATTCAAATCTATTTCCTCAAGTTGGGGTGGATATAGGACTTCATTATCTACAACTTTCATGAAGAAAGCATTACTAAATTCGGAAGTTAAGTAGGCACGACCGTGCCCTCAAAGTCAGGCACGATCGTGCGTGAAGAGAAAGCAACGCCGAGTTTCTGCCAGCTAGGCACGATCGTGCCTGCAGGGAGGCACGATCGTGCCTGCACGAAATGCGGGTTTTTGCTCCGGAGGCACGATCGTGCCTGGCATCGTGTCTGCCTCCGGAAATCCCAATTGAAGTCAAATTTCACCCGATTTTTCTATTTAAACAGCCTGTAAACCCCCGTTTTGAGGGGGGGAGCTTAGAGAAAGTTCCTAGCACGAATTTTAGAGTGCTTTTCAGCCTTGTTCATCAATCTTTTGGGATTCTTTGTAAGTTCCACCTTTTTAATTAATGATAATTAATTCTTTTTATTCCAATTCTATTGATTCTTCAATTATGAATTGTGAGTAGTTTTAATTAGGGATTTGGGATTAATGAAGGGGTTAATCATGATGTATGGCTAGATTCTTGTCGGTTTAGTTGCATGAATGCCGTTTAATTTGTGTTTGAATAATTTAACCGATATCTTTTGTAATCTAGAATCGCGACTAGAATTACAATTGCTTGTAGAATAAGTTAAGAGAGATCTAATTTATTCTAGGACACCTTCACACACACTTAATCGTTCGCTAAGAGATTAGTAGCAATTAAGGGGCCGTAAGCTCGCTCGTCTTGGCAATAATTTAGGATCTTGTCGCATGAGAGATCAGCCTGGTCCCCTAAATTATTGTACTCTACGCCGCGAGAGCGGTAAGAACTTAGTAATGATTTAGCTAGGCTCAATTGAATTAATTTCATGTAATTAGGCCTGATCTGCCAGAAATCTGGTTACCCCGGAATCAATTCATGTTCCCTTCGTCATTAATTAGAGAGAACCCATTTATTTAATTGTTCATTCGCATTAGTTTAATTTCAATTTTCCAACCAATCATATCTCGCATGACGCATTTATTTTATTTCTTTTTTATCGCTGAATTTAATTAATTCTTGATTCCCTTTTTCCGTCCCTGTGGAGACGATACCCGTACTTACACC